CAGAAACCCAGATGTGGATCTGCAAGCCCACCGCCTCTAACCAGGGCAAAGGCATCTTCCTGCTCAGGAACCAGGAGGAAGTTGCCGCCCTGCAGGCCAAGACCCAGAGCTTGGAGGAAGACCCCATCTACCGCAAGATGCCCTTCCGGGCGCCGCAGGCGCGCGTGGTGCAGAGGTGCGGGCGGGTGCCGGGAGGGGCTGGTCTGGGCGGGGCTGACCACGGCCGCCGGGAGGGCTCGTGGCCGTCAACTGGGCGGCAGAGGAGCCCTGGGCCGCGGAAAGCTGCTGCACCCCCAGCGCCCGTCTGAGCTGCATCCTTCGGACCACGGCTGGGCCCCCGCACGGGGGAGGTGCCACATCCGCGCAGGCTGCAGACAGGATGCGGAGTGCGGCAGCGCGGGCTTGGTCAGTGTGTCCCTCAGCCCCGGCTCTGCCCCTCTGACCTGCAAGAGGCCTGGCCTTGGCAGGTCTTCCTGCAGCTGCCTCCCGTCCAGCCCAGCCGGCCACCTGTGGCCTTAGAGCTGGAGCCCAGAGCTGCCCACGCCTTCCTCGCTGGAGCACGCCCTGAGGCTGTGTCTGCCAGACCCTCCGCCTCCCACGGGGCTCGGTCTGGTCTCAGAAACGTCCAGATGACCTCACCCTCTGCCAGTGCAGAGCCTCGCTCTGGCCACAGCGGCTATCTGCCGTCCCTCCCCTGTCAGCCCCTCTGGAGCTGCTGCGTCCTGCCTGGGGCTGCAGACCTGCAGGTCCTCCTCAGGCAGCCTCCCTCCCTTCCCAGCCCGACCTGGTCCTACCCCTCCCAGCCCGACCTGGTCCTACCCCGCAGGCTCCTGGTGAGGCCACACCCTGGGGCGTCCCAGACACACGCAGTGGGCTCGGCAATGTCCCCTTACCGAGGACACTGTGTTCAGCCACGGTCACACCTGGGACAGGTGGCAGGCCGCTGAGGAAATGGCTCAGGCCAGGCTGTCCCACGGGGTGCCCCACAGGTACATCCAGAACCCGCTGCTGCTGGATGGGAAGAAGTTCGACGTGCGCTCATACCTGGTCATCGCCTGTGCCATGCCCTACATGGTCTTCTTCGCCCATGGCTACGCCCGCCTCACCCTCAGCCTCTACAACCCCCATTCCAGCGACCTCAGTGGCCACTTGACCAACCAGGTAAGGGTCCCCCACAGGTGAGGGCCGTCCCTGGGGCCTTGTGCTGAGATGAGAGGAAGGTGCAGCTGTGGATGTAGCCCCAAGGTGGTCCAGGTCCGGTGGTGGCCTGGGCTGTCCCTGCCTACAGTCAGCACTGCCTCCCACCGCCCACCTTTAGCCATGGCAGAAGGGTGTGGCAGGGCCCCGGGAATCCTGGTGAACTCGCTGAGAGCCCTGCCCCCAGCTTGTCTTCCACTGGGTGGGCGGGTGGGCGCCGCGGCTGGAGGGCGTCTGCGAGGACCTAGTGGAGGGGTCTGTGGCAGACGTCTCTGGGGAAGGGTCTTAACGGGAACAATCCAGGGCAAGGGGCCTCCCGAGATGGCTGAGGGGGTCTCTGCAGGGGCCAGGTTGGGGCGAGGCTCTCTTGAGGGGCCCTCAGCGAGGGCAGGGCACTGGATGCTCAGGGCCCCAGGCACTGCGCTCACCCCCAGTTCATGCAAAAGAAGAGCCCCCTGTACGTGCTGCTCAAGGAGGACACGGTGTGGAGCATGGACCACCTCAACCGCTACATCAACGACAACTTCAGCAAGGCCAAGGGTCTCCCCAGAGACTGGGTCTTCACCACCTTCACGGTGCGTCTGCGCTGCACCCCCAGCCCGGGGCAGGGCGGGGGCCTTGGGCTGGAGGTCCCTCGGGGCACACGTGCACAAGTGTGCTTGTGTGTTTGAAATGAAACTCTTCCAGTTTCCCCATCAACGAAGCCAGCAGCTACCGTCCCCAGCAGCCACCAGAGGCCCAGGCAGAAAAGCACCCTGCATAGGTCCACCTGCACGGGTTCCTCTGGGCGGCTGGCCTCCCCGCCTGAGTCGGAGGGCGGGCTCGGCTTCGGCGGCACAACCGCAGTGCAAAAGTTTAACCTTTCATTCCTCGCGGATGCTCAACTAGGCAGGGTAACCTGCGCGGGGCAGACAGCAGTCCTCCGTCCTGGGGCTCGTGTGGCAACGGCAACTGCCCCGTGCAGGAGGAGACTTCTAGTTGCAGGTCCTCTGGGGTGGGGTGTGCTAGTCTCATGCGGTTACTTTCTATGGGGCATTTCAAACAACACTGGCAGCGAAGGCCGTCGAGCAATGTGGGGCAAAGCTGGCGTTGAAACGGCTCCGCAGACGCACTGCTCAGCTGCCATGGCCAGGCGGTGTGTACCTGGGCCGTGGCAGTCGGCTGTGTTCGTCGGGCGCCTCCAAACGTGCTGCTCCTACCTCTCCACTGAGATAAGTCACACGACATAAAATGCACCATTTTAAAGTGCACGGTTCAGTGGTTTTAACATTTCACAATGTTGTGCAAGTATCACCATTAACTCCAGAACATGCTCATCGCCAGCGAGAGAGGCTGTGCCACTGAGCCGCGAGTCAGCCACACTCCCACAGCTGGTGGCCGCTGCCTCTCCGCACCCCCATTCTAGATGTTTCGCATAAATGGGATCGTACAATGTGTGGCTCTTCCCGGCTTTTTTCGCTTAGTGCAACGTTCTCAGGGCCCAGCCACGGCATAGCGTGAATCAGGGTGTCATTCCCTTCTATGCAACAGCCCACCGTGCGGACGGACCACGCTTCATTCCCAGTCAGCAGCTGAGGGACATTCAGGTTGTTTCTACTTTCTGTCTGCTATGAACAACGCTCAATGAACCATGAATATTCACTTATAAGTCGCTGTATAAACACATATTCCCGATTCTCCTGGGAATAACCTAGGTGTGGAGTTGCGGGGTCATCTGGTAACTTACGTTTAACTTTCTAAGCAAACACGAAACAGTTCTCCACCGCGGCTACGTTCCTTCACATCCCCACCGCGATGTGAAAGGTTCCCATTTCTCCCTATCCTCGCCCGCACTTTTTTCCCTCTTTTTTTTTTTAAATAACCATCCAGTTGGTGTGAAGTGATGTCACCCTGTGGTTTTGATTTGCCTTCCCTAGTCACTGACAGTGTCGAGGGTCTTTCTGCGTGGCGGCCACCTTGTGTGTCTTCTTCAGAGAAAAGTCTGTTCAGACTCTTTTCCTATTCTTTATTGTTCAGTTATAAAAATTCTTTATATATTCCGGATCCTAGATCCTTATCAGACCCATGATTTGCAAATATTTTTCTCCCATTTTGTGGTTGTCTTTTCACTATCTTGATAATGTCCTTTGATCACAGAATCACAATTGACCTGTTGTTTTCCTTTGGTTACTCCTGCGTTGGGGGTGGTGTTCCAGAGACGTCTGTGGGGGCCATTTTGTCCATAGTGCTGTTCAAGTCATCTGCTCACGTGTTAATCTTGGGTCTGTACAGCCTGTCCGTTCTTGAAAGCCAGGTATGGAATTGCGTGTTTCTCCCTTCAGCCCTGTCAGTTTTTGCTTTGTGTGTTTTGAGGCTCTGTCATTGGGTTCGTTTATGTTTATAGTTATTACATCTTCTTGATTTATCATCATAAAATATTCTTTCTTCCCCCAGTA